GGCTGATGGGCTGATGGGCTGATGGGGCTGATGTGGCTGATGTGGCTGATTGAGCCCGAGTGGGCGTCCGTCGCAGAGCGGGCTTCCTGCGGGCTGCGCGGGTGGGGGACATGCTCTAACGGGCAGGCGGAGGCCGGTCGCGGTGCCCCGCGGGTGGGCCGCTGGAGGCCCCGGGGAGCACGGGTGCGTTTTGGAGCTCGGGTGGCGGAGGCTTGTCAGGACCCGGGGACCGCGCTCGCGCCGTCCTGTGTCCTCATCTGGCCCCCTCCCAGCGGCTCCCTGTCGCCACCCACTGATGGGAGGAGTGCGGGGCCACCTGGTGGCCAGGTCCCAGGTTCAAAGCTACGACCAGTCGCCACCCGCAGTGTCCCTGGGCGGGTCCTCTGGCCCTCGGAGCTTATGACCTTCCCGCCGGGGCGCGCACGTCCGACTGGGGTTGTGGACGTGGGAAGCACCCCCGAGGTCGATCCCCAGTACAGAAAAGAAAAGAGGAAGTGCCTTTTCAGATAAAAGGGGACACCCTGTACCTAATTCACCTAAGGTATTACTGGGGGAAGAAGCAGAGCCATTTTAAGGGAATGGGTAAGCAGTTAGGTCCGACTGACCACATCCCACCAGGTCAGGTCCCTGGGCTGAACTTCCCCACGTGGTCCCGCGGTGTGGCAACCCCTCCCCTTGCTCACCCAGCAAACTGTCGCTTAAATGGCAGTGACCTGTGACCATTGGGCGTTCCGCTGTGGTCCGTGAAGTCTCGCTGTGAGGCCTTGATCATCCAGGTGTGTCCCACAGGTGTGTGTGCAGGGAGCGGGCAGAAGGAGACTTCTAGAGATGCTTCCATTAACAACTTGTACCCCAGGCTCCTTTCCTCGCCCCCACCCACCTAATGAGGTCAGTCCAAACCCCGGAGGCCAACCACAGGGCGCAGAAGGACAACAGCCCTGGAGTCCCTCCTCTGGATGTGCACGGGACCCCTCCCCAGGAGCTCAGGGTCAGGACTGGGCTGGTGATGCAGGCCTGGGCTCAGGGCCAGATGACCTGGAGACCTGCCTCTAGCCAGTGTCCCCTCTAAAACCAGGACGCCACTCACAGCAGGGCTGCTGGGCACGGCTGTACACACCTTACTTTTCACTAGGGCACCTGTGCAAGCATCATGGGGAAGAGGTACCTCCAAAAGAGGGTCCTGAGGAGTTCCTGGAGAGAGGAGGAGTGGGCTCAGGACCGCGGAGTCCTTGGCATCCGTGACAGAGAAGAACTTCAGCACATGCCCCTAGAGGCATTCAGGGAGAAGGTGGACCATCTCCTAAGACAGACAGGCCAGCTCTTCTCCTACAGGAACCCGAGGGGCATGAGGAGCTGGGGGGTGACCCCACTCTGGCCGTCTCGGGATCCTCAGGTGGATGTTTGATCAAAAACACTGCAAAGTCTCCAGGTTCGAGAAAGTCCCCTGAATTATATATAGGCTTCTCAAAATATCAGGTCTCTCTGTGCTTAATCTGTTTATTGATGAATAATTAACAGTGCACAAGGCCGTGTCCACACCAGGGCTGCAGGATCCCACTCCAGCATGTGTCCACGCTCAGGGACCATCAGGCCAAGTCTGTGTCCAAAGTCCCTCGAGGGAAATCTTACTCAACAGGAAAGAAAAGCTTGAAGCATCACAATTAGAAACACTTCTTGTTCTGTTTTCTCTTTGGAGGTGAGGCCTTGGGCACTGCTAGGTGGCTCTGCTGGATAGCACTGCTGAGCGGCACTGCTAGGTGGCACTGCTGGATAAGGAATGACAACTAGGCTCAAAAAGCTGCTTTTTAGAAATCCAGGTGGCAGAACACGCATAACAGAGAACTGACCTTTTCACTCATGTTAACCCTTGAACACAGGCTTTATATTTTACCTTGTCTGTTTTTAAAACTGGTAACATATACGTAACTTGGTGTTTATCATTTTAACCAGGTGTAAGGGACACTTTGGTGGCATCGCGCACACAGCGTGGGGCCGCAGTCCCCCCATTCCCTGTGGTGCTCACTGGTCCTGCGGAGCTGAACTTGCCCCCCGCCCCCGCCTGGCCCCTGCTCCTGACACCTCTCCCCTGTTTCTGAGTCTGAGCCCCCAGGTGCGCTACCTGAGAGACGGCGCTCTGTGCTCTCTGGGACTGGCTAAGGCTCCTCCTGACCACAGCCAGAGCCAGTCGACGTTCCTCCTTTGAGGGGCTTGGCTGCTTGCACTTCTGGGGGGCCTGAGTGCTGCTGCTGTGAACACAGATGTACACACATCTCCTGGAGACTCGGGGTGACGTTCTTTGGGGGTGAATGTCTGCCCTTGGCATCGCTGCACTGTGTGATAGGTGCATTTTAACATTTTCAAGGGCGTCCACACGACCTTCCACAGTCAGGACACCAGGTCACACTCCCGCCACAAACACTTTGTCTAATTCCTGCTACATTGTTATTTTCTCTATTTGTGTGAATAGTGACCGTAGGGCCTGGATGTGTGGCAGTTCCTTGTTTCTTTTGAAAAGAAAAAAAAAACACGACTTTTCCATTGTTTCATGACGACTGTTACTTGGAAGAGGGGAAGTGCCCACTGGGTACCCAGTACCCACTGGGCATCATGCAGCTTCCCGCTTCACAAAGACAGGCAAAGTGCCTGTGGAGAGAGCTGAAGTGCATCTGAGCCACGGGAGCTGGTGGTCCCCGTGCCAGCGTGGAGCGTGGCTGGGCTCCTTGCAGGCAGCCGCAGCCGTGGGGTGAACAGTGGGTGCAGCAGGTCCTCACTGGAGGGGGGATGCGGGAGCTGGTCTGGTTGCCAGGCAACGCTCAGAGTCCCTGGAGATGAGTCACCAGGAAAGAGAGTGAGGAGAGGGTGGGGGAGGGGCCGCCTCAGCCCAGCCAGCTGCGGAGACCGAGGGGGAGGGGCGCGGCCGAGGGTCTCTAAGCAGCCCCGCTCCGCAGGCGGCCCCCACCCAGAGTCTCGTTATTGTTGTTATCACTCGTGTGTCTATTAGGCCATTTGCTCCCAAAATGCGATCCAAGCCCCCTGGAGGGGGCCCGAGACCCTCTGGAGGGTCCACGCGCCTCCCAACTATTTTGCTCAGAGCACAAAGGTGTCACTTGCCCTTTTCCTTCCCAGCTTTCTGCAGAATGACGTATGCCACGTGCTGGAACTAGGAGCCCAGACCAGAATCCACCGCAGTGTGTTGGGGTCCAGGGACGTTTGCAGAGTCTGGCCCACGGCTGAGTTGACTGACAGCCACAGGATCTCAAAGCCTCCGCTGCTCATGTCCAGGCAACTCTGGGTCACTTTGACCCACGCTGACCGTCTGATCAGAACCCGTTCGTACAGATTTTATGGTGCGGCAACTCTCCTTAGCCCCTGAGTTCTGGAACCGGTCTGTCCCCCGCCCCCGCCCCCTCCCAGGATAACCGGCCCTGGTCCTGCAGACAGCAGGTAGTCTGCTGAGGAATGTAACCTGTCCTGTTGACGGGAGCCAGGCCGGCTGCTTTGAGAGAAAGCATGTGGGGGTCAGCGCAGCGGGCCAGTTTAGAGGATCATTCCCCTGGCTTCCAGTTCCCACTGCAGCCTGTCAGATGGCCTCTGTTTATGATTTCATTTCTGTTGTTCATCTGTCTGCTAGGCCTGTGGTCCCCAAGTGCAGTTCCAGGCTGGGGGGGGGGGGATCAGGAGGCCTACAAGTTCCAAACCATCTTCTGAGAATATTTAGATCTGGCTGGCCCAGTCCTTCTATGGTTTCTGCATGCTGTCAAGTTGCAAGGGCTGGATTTAAGAGGCAGGTGTGAGGATTCAGCTGTCCTCTACCTGGGAGGACATTGGAGGGGTCTGCAAACATGTGGGAGACGCCTTGATTCCTGATGGTTATCTGGAAAGAGCCATTGTTTTTCCTTCAGTGTAGATGATGCTGATATATAAGAGATTCCTTACCTTTCAAAGTTTTTTAACTTAAAAATATCCAGTTTCCGTTGATAGTATGGTAGACATACATGATCGTAAATCAAACAAAGAGAAATTATTTGGGGTTCTCAATAATCATGGAAAGCACAAAATTCCGACAGGATGAAGTTTCAGAATGACTCTCCTAGGAGAATTTCCTTCTTTATCCCCCCGCCCCCGCCCCCGTGTGGTGCTGGGGATTGAACCCAGGGCCTTGTGCCTGAGGGCAGGCACTCTACCAGCTGAGGTGTGTCCCCCGCCCTCCTGGGTGTCTTTCCAAGATGCAGCTTTGCTGGCTGAAGAGGTGCACGTTTACGGTGTCTGACGCCCGGGTGTCCTGTGTGACTCTCTTCCCATCTAAATCTTCACGAGAAAGAGTCCACAGCCCAGCGCAGTGGATCCCGCCAATTATCCCAGCCACTGAGGCAGGGGGATGGCAAGTTCCAGGCTAGCCTTCACCCTGAGCAATTTAGTGAGACCCCGTCTCAAAATAAGGAATGAAAAGGGCCGCTGGGTGAGTCTCACCAGCGGTTAAGTGCCCTCGGCTTCAATCCCTGTTTCCCCCCGCCCCCGCCCCCCCAAAAGAGAAAGAAACAGAAATAGAGGGTCTACCTCTGTCTGCTCCTGTGGTCAGGAGGTTGGTGGCCCGGGGCTGGATCCCCGTGGCTGGACACCGAGTCCCTTGCTAGGGGTGAGTGAGAGCTCTCAGGAGAGGAGGTGGGAGGCAGAAGCCGAGCTACAGACCCGACACTGTCGCCCTGGTCCTGGACGATACGTGGGCCCCTCTGAGCCCCACTTTCTGCCCCTGCAAGGTGGGCTTTAGCTGGAAGAGAGCTGGATACAGTAAATCATGGCATACTTTTGTTTTTTAAACAGATACAACATTTTTGATACCTTTATTTTATTTATTCCTTTTTATGTGGTGCCGAGAATCAAACCCAGTGCGGGCTTGTGCCAGGCGAGCGCGGCACCGCTGAGCCCCAGCCCAGGTGACATGCTTTTGTTTTTAATTGTTTCTACAATAATTAAATATGAAAAACTGTAGTAATTTGGGTAGAAAGAATGAAGCTTCACTTTCCTGTGGCGTTTTGCCGCCTCCGTGTCCACAGTTGCTGAAGCAGTACCTCAATGCCGCCACACTCACTGTTCTAGTCCTCCGTCCCCACCGGTGCTGGGGACATAACTGCCTGTCCCCCTCTGTGCCCTCTGGGGAGTTTGGGCTGCGTCACTAAACCTGTCCCAACAGCGCTGGGCGGCCAAGCGGGCGATGCTTTCCCAGGGAGCCCGGACTTTGGCCAGGACGGCCTCGGCGCTGACTAGGACTGTCCACGGAAAGGCGGGGAACCTGAAGGTTTGGGAGGAGACCGTGGCCTCCCTGGGAGTCCACTTTCGGGGCAAAGTGAGACCAAGCGTCACGGTTCCATAAACAGAGGAGAAGAAGCCTTCAACTGAGGGACAGCCCTGGCTGTGTGCTGATCCTGTCACTCAACAGCCACTTAGCATGTGCCATGTGACGGGGACAGTGCGGGGCACCAAACAGGAGCAGACCCCTGTGTTCATAAAGGACTCTCCTGTGGGTCTGGGGTCGGCGAGCCCCGTGCATGTACCCGGCCGAGCCTGGCACGGCCCCGTCCTCCTTTTCCAGGGGAATAGAGTAGTGCCCCTACGAACGTCGGCCACTTAATAAACAGGCTTCCTCAAGATACCAGACTTCAATAAAGATGGAGAAGCAAACAGGACACGTGGAGAGAGCTGAAGTGGAACCGGAACCCCCGGAGCCGGCGGTCCCCGTGCCAGCGTGGAGCGTGGCTGGGCTCCCACTCGGGTGTGCAGGCACCTTGCAGGCAGCCGCAGCCGGGGGTGGGACTGAGGGTGCTGCAGGTCCTCACTGGAGGGGGGATGCAGGAGCTGGTCTGGTTGCCAGGCAACGCTCAGAGTCCCTGGAGATGAGTCACCAGGAAAGAGAGTGAGGAGAGGGTGGGGGAGGGGCCGCCTCAGCCCAGCCAGCTGCGGAGACCGAGGGGGAGGGGCGCGGCCGAGGGTCTCTAAGCAGCCCCGCTCCGCAGGCGGCCCCCACCCAGAGTCTCGTTATTGTTGTTATCACTCGTGTGTCTATTAGGCCATTTGCTCCCAAAATGCGATCCAAGCCCCCTGGAGGGGGCCCGAGACCCTCTGGAGGGTCCACGCGCCTCCCAACTATTTTGCTCAGAGCACAAAGGTGTCACTTGCCCTTTTCCTTCCCAGCTTTCTGCAGAATGACGTATGCCACGTGCTGGAACTAGGAGCCCAGATGAGAATCCAGCCGTCCCCTGAGACGGAGGACATCCAGAGAGTGGCAAAAATGTCCCACTTGCCGCCTCCCGCACTGATCTTTGTGTAGAGAGACGACCCTGTCACCCGGTGCTGTCTCCTAGGTCAGCGTTCAGCTCAGCGGGGGCTCGGGGTTCCTGGGTGCCAGCAGTGTGGGAGACGTCCTCCAGGGGTGCTGAGGGAATCCAGGGGAGTCCTGAGGCCCAGCCCTGCGGTGACAACTACCTGGGCCCTTCTTGACTGTGTTTCTCTGGGTTGCAGGACACAGACGTTCAAGGTGTCTCCCCACGCGGGACCAGGTCGCTGCGCTGGTCCACAGCTGTCTCACTGCCCCTCTGTCCACTGGCAGCTGCCTCCAGCGTGAGGCCGGGGAAGGGACTTCTGTGGGACGGGAGCGTGGGTCTCCCCTAGCACAGGGTGAGCGGCGGTCCTCAGCGGAGAGGCTGCTGTTTACCAAGGCTGGCTCCCGCGCTCACGCTCGGTGTGGAGGACCACGGGCTCAACCCCTCGGAGGAGCCTCACCTCCTCACCTGCAGATGGGGACTGAGGCAGTAAGGACGCGGAGCAGTCCGGTGCGCAGCAGCTGTACGGTTTTGCGTTTCTATAATAAATGTAATTTACAGATACAAGAAAGGTCAGTAAGAACAGAAAGCCACGTTTTGGGGGGTGAAATTTTCTCCACTCGGTAGGTGCCTGATTGTTGAACAAGCCCCTGTACGCGTCCAAGTAGGTGACAGTTCTCTTGTCCCCCTGAAGGACTAACTGTTGCTTCTTTCCTGGTGCCGGGGGCTCCGGAGAGCAGGGTGTGCAGCCTCTCCCAAACCGCATCACCAGAGCCCTGGGGAGCCCGGATCCCAGGTCTGCCCAGCCCCGCCAGGGTGAAGGCCCGGGTGCAGGAGCACACACGTCCCGACCGCGGGTTTTAACAGTGTCCAGTGCACCTCTGAACAGAGCCCTTGCTGCTTATTTTTAAAAGGACATGTTTTTCTTTCTCTCTCTCCCTCTCCCTCCCTAGCCCAGGGTGAAGAACAAGAGCACCTTGGGTTACCTATCTGATCCCCACAGGAAGGAGATGTCCCTGGGAGAGTAGGAAGCGACTGTCTCCAAAAATAACAAGTGAATTTCCACGTACCTTCAGGCGGGTGCACCTGGGACCCTGCCGCGGCACACCTGCAGTGCAGCCTTTCCATAGCTTCTTTAAAAGCCCCCTGTCCCCTGAGGGGCAGAGTCACAGTCTCTGGGACAGGTCTTCCCTGTGTTCTCCTTTTCTAGTAAACAATAAACCTTCTTTTTCCTTCCTCAAAACCCTGTGTTGGTACTGAATTCACCTCGGGAACAAGGACCCAGCTTTCAGCAACCAGGTGAGGAAGCGGCTGAGGCGACCTGGCGGCCTATTGAGGGAGGGAAGGGAGTGAGGGTCGAGAGGCATGGCATCCAGGAGGACGCTGTAGCGCCCTGCAGCCAGGAGCAGGGCCGTCCACTCCCGCAGTGCGGATGCAGGCGTGGTCCCTGCCGCAGAACTCCCTGCAGCCCCCGGCTTCGGAAGGCACGGAGCACCTTCACGTCCACATTCCTTTGTCCCCAGCAGCGCCGCGGGGCCACCCTGAAGCTGGTGTTAAACCCCCAGGTCTCCTGGAGCCCCTGGAAAGCCGGTGAAGGAGGGGCACGAGGGAAAGAAGAGTGAAACAGGGAGAGGAGGCTCAGCGGTCCCCCGTGGGAGTCCTCCCTGGTGGCCTCCCGCGGCCTGGCCACGGGGCTGGGTTCCCTGTGGTTGGCCTGTCCAAGGCACAGCGAGGGCCCCTCTTCCCTGAGGAGACCGCAGAGCCAGCTTCCTCCTGCTGCTGGTTTTGTCACCAAAACAGCAATCAAGGGACACTGGGGAGGGAGCTGGCGGTGTGGGGTGGACAGCGGGAGTGTGGAGCCGGCCTGCAGGCAGCACCCTGGAATCACCCGTGAAGTAATAGCGTGGGGGCGGCTGTGGGGGGGTGGCTTGAGTGGGGCAGACAGGCAGGCGGCAGAGTCCTGGAAGCAGAATCTGGAAGGAACTTCAAGTGTGGCCAAGAAGCCACACACATCGAGGATGTGACGGGAGGGGGGGTCCCCAGGGAGGACCCAGGAGGAGACCCTGGGAGCAGGAGGGAATGGTGGAGGCCAGCCGCTCCATCTGAGGAGGAGGCTGAGGGAGTGGAGGGAAGGATCTGCCCCAGGCAGCTTTGGAGGGAGTGCGAGACCACAGGTGTCGGTCCCCAGCCAGGGGACCTCCTGGTCCTGTGGGACTCCTGGGCCTTTGCTGTGGAGGAGGGAGGAGGCTGTTCCTGCACACTAGGACGAAGGAGGCCGTCCTCCACTGAGCATAGGAGGCTGAGCAGCATCCTTGAATTTCCCATCTCCTCCCCTCCCACCAGCTGTGACACCAAAAAATGTCCCCAGATATGGCCAGACATCCTCTGGGGCAACCCTGTCCCTGCTTGAGTGTCCACCTGGGGTGTAAGGTGGTTTTGGTGGGCACCGTCAAGAAGCAGGGGTCCGGTCCGTGGGCTCAGGAAGCCTGGAGACCTCCTTGCCGTCCGTCCGCAGCTGTGAGGCTTGGGATTCTGCTGACCCGCAGGACGTCTGAGCAGGGACTCCAGTCCTCTGAGTGTGCCCTCTGTGTGCAGACCTGTAGGTCAGAGATCACCCACCCGCGGCCTCGGTTGGACTCCCACAATCTGGACCATCACGCACCTGCCCTCCCGTCCTGGGTGGGGGCCAGACACCCTGAGAGGCCACTGTGCCCCAGGACCCATGAAACACTTCACACGGGCTGCCCACCAAGGACCGGGGCCCCCAGTGGAGCTCTTCCCACGCGTGCCCTCCCCGACCCGCCAGGAACCCCTCTCCCGGGCAGGCTCCTCCACCACTGTGTGTGTCCCAGGCACCACTGTTTTCCCCGACGTGAGTCTCCCGTGATTCCTGGAAGCGGTTCTTGCAGTTAGGAATCCATTTGGTGAGAGCCCAGAGACACCAGACACACCTCTGCATCCTGCGTGTGGTGTGGACCTGGGGAGAGGACCTCCTGACCATCAGTGGGGGCTCAGGTCACATCCCTGTGCCCATCAGCCTTGCAGGACTGTGCCCAAGACCATGCCCAAACCCAAGGCAGAAGGACAGCCTTCCTGGAGTCCCCTCTCCGGACATGCCCAGGACAGCTCCGGGGTGGGGGTGGGGGTTCCGAGTCAGGAGGGGGCTGGAGATGCCGCTGTGGCCCGGGGACCCGCCGGGGCCCAGCGCTCCCCTCAGTCCACAGTCACCTAGGACCCCGCTCGGCTGCCGGGGAAACCCAGCCCGGACTCCCTGCCCAGCTCTGTCCACGCCGGGGCTGAGGGGCTCCCCAAATCCCTACGGCCCACGACGGCCACGCGGCGCTCGGCAAAACACTTGTTTTTAAACCCGGGCCCGCGAACAAGTGCCCGCCGCAGTGCGGCTGCGGCGACCCGGTCTCGGTCCTGGTGCGCGGCGCGAGATGGCGCTGTTGCCTAGCGGGAGAGGGAACCCGGCGGCGCTGACATTCCTCAGCTTTCCGTTTGCTTTTTAATTTCAAACGTTAATATATTTTCTATTTTATATTGAACATAGGCATCAGCAAGCCCCTCTTTGGCAGGAACTATAATACCCAGGGGGAAAAACTTGTACGGTGTCGCTTAAAATATTCTTTGTAATAAAATAATAAAACTTCAAATAAATAGTCTTCACACCAAAGAGTATGTTGAAAAATTAGAAAATAAATGTTTAATTTTACTACAACTACGATATACATGAAGTCGAAAGGGGAAATCAGAGTTTTCCAATAAAGGCTTCCTGTAAGGCAAAATACACTCTAAAGACATACTGATTGATTCACATTCTTCCGAATGTACAAGATATTAGTATAATATTTTGTGATTACCATGGAGTATGGCACAACTTGTTTCTCACAGTTGCGAATATCATTGTATATTCAAAAATATAGCACATTATCTCTGGGGAACACAATGGCAAGAAGATCATTGGCTAATTTACAAATTTTGCAAGGACTATTCACAAACAAGAACTGCCTAGGAGTGTCTGTTGCTTAAGCTTATGCAATATGTGGGACACCAAGTTCCGTATCCCTTAACTTTGAGCTCCATTAGCTGAGGTTCTAACAAGCATATCAGTTAAAATAGCACACAGACAAAAAGCATCTCACTGTAAGCAGCAAAGACTATCCCAACTCTCTACGAACAGTGTCAAGATCACAACTGTCTAGTTGGTTGCATATGTGTTTAAGAAAAAAAAGAGAACAACCCTTAATACTGATATTCCTGATTAACAATGCTATGTTGGTTTTTCAAAGTGCCTCAGGGGCAACAGTGGGAACTTTGTAGCAGACTGTGTTTGAGTTTTCACAGCGGCACCCAGGCCTGTTAACCCAATCATAACACCCCTGGCACAATTTAAGGCAACCCATGGCTGGAGGGTAACACCATAAGCAAGGCAAAAAGACGGACATGAGCCCCATGGCCGACCAACGCGCACAATAGTGAGACGGGCTGCAGGAGCACGGGTTGTCAGAGCAGTCGTCCTCATCATCATCAGAACAGTGGTAGAAGACAGCTTTCACACAGCACACGCAAGTCCCATAGTCAATCACGTTCTGGGCCGAGCAAAGGCACCGCTTGTTGCAGATCCAGTTGGATGGCAGGGGCCTTGGATGGGTGCACTCCTTACACTTGCACTTGCCACAGTCCTCACACCTGTAGGCGTGCAGGCCCAAATCTTCCATGCTCAGTGGCTTGCGCTCACCTGGCTTGAGCTCAGACTTGGGTTGCACCAGGATGATCCCATCAGCAAGTGGACCAGAGGAGAAGGATGGTCCTAACAGCCTCCGATCCGAGGAGCTGCTGCTGATATTTGTCCTTAGGATGCTCTGAGACCCTGAGCTGACGGTGCTGATGGACCTGGGCAGAGGGGCTCGAGTAGAAACACGAACCTGCGAAAGCTGGAGCCTGGGAGGCGGGCTGTGCTCCGGCAGACCGCGGAGCCTCTCCGGCTTGTGCTGAGTGGAGGGGCGAGGAGCAGGCTGCAGTCCGGGTCTGGGGACCGCAGTCGGTGCCTCGGTGTACTCATTGGTGTTTCCGATGGTTCTGATTTGATCCAGAGACAAAACCTGTACCTGCTGGGAGAGGGCTTCTCCAGGGCCAGGCTCCCCACGCTGCCTGCCACTGTCACAGTGCGCCTGCAGCAAAGGCTGAGACCCGCTGCCACTCTGTGCTCCGGCCTCCATGGTGTCTTGGAAGTGTGGTCACTCCAGCAGGCTTAGAGCGCATCTGAACTCGGTGATCACGGCTTCGCACCAACCCCTCTCCCCCGGTGTTTCTTTCAGCGATGTGCAAATAAATCCAGTCCCTCCGCAAACTTTTTCCCTTCTTTCCAAACTCTGCCTCAGTTCAACTTCCTAGCAATCGCGGAGAAAAATCGAGAGACAAATTCGGAGCCAAGTCCCCCGCCGACGAACACCCCGGGGTTCGGGGCTGCCCCTTCCAGAAGCGCACGCGGAGTATTTCCTCTTTTTCTCAATGAACAAGAGGCCGAAGCGCCAACGGCGAATCCCTTTTCCTGTCAGATTAGCCAATGAGAAAAGAAACGGCCTCACAGAGAATTTAAAGCCAGATCGCCAAGTCGCGCGGCCCCGCGTGCGTCTGAGCAGAGGCGGCGCGGGGGCGCGGAGCCGGGTCGGGAGGGCGCGGGGGCCTGAGCGCTGCGCGCTCCACCGGCCCCTCTCTTACGCGCGCGCGCTGTGGCGCGCAGCTCCAGCTCTCGGTTTTAATTGCGATAAGATACACACAACATACATTTACCATGTTAAGGAATGTTTTCAGGTATTAATTGTGACACATAGTCTTGCAAATTCTGCATTTTAATATTTAAGTTAGGGCATGTTAGACATCATTTTATGTTTTATCCATTTTAAGTGCACTGTTCGTTGGCATTAACTGCTTTCACGTGGATTTGAGATCACCATCGCCTTCCATCCTCAGAACCGTTTCACACTAGAGAGCCCACAGTTTGGACCCACCAGCCTCAGCACCCCATTTCCCCTTCCTGGCCCCGGGAAACCACCACCCCAGGTGTGTGGGTCTGTGCCTTGGGCCAGTAAAACTACACGGCCTCGGCCTCTGAGAGTGCTTGATTTCACCTGCTCAGGGTGTGCCAAGTCGTGGGAGGTGGCAGACCTGCTTCCCCACCGGGGAGTACTTTCCACCGTGGGTCAATGCCAAATTCTGGTCATTCTTGATGGACACTGCAATGTCCCCCCTTTGCCTGCTCGGAACAGGAGACTCCACACATGTCTTTGCTGTGTGTTTCCAGTTCTTGGGGTGTGCATGGAGCCGCTGGGTCACGTGTTCCACTCTCTCAGCCTCGTGGGGGTGCTGCCAGGCATGGCCCCAACTGGCTGCATCAAATTGCCTCCCCATTTCACCCTGCACAAGGGCTGCGGGTCCTCCTCATACCAGACCTTGCCTTTCCCATGGACAGAGACCATGCTAATGTGCATTGGTGACTTCTGTTTCTTTTTTAAAGGAAAACATCTCATTGTTCAGTGATGATGGTGACTGAACAACAGCTGTGTGTGCACACAGGTGCTACTGCACTTCTCAAACCTTGGCCTCAGGAGGAACAGGCCACCCCTCTTTGGTCTCCCACGTTCACCTTCATGCCTGCTCGCTTTTCTTCACAGCAGCCACTGACAACCTGCTTCACAAAGACAGGAACTGGAACCAAAGGAGCTGGTGGTCCCGGTGCCAGCGTGGAGCGTGGCTGGGCTCCCACTCTTGGTGTGCAGGCACCTTGCAGGCAGCCGCAGCCGTGGGGTGAACAGTGGGTGCAGCAGGTCCTCACTGGAGGGGGGATGCAGGAGCTGGTCTGGTTGCCAGGCAACGCTCAGAGTCCCTGGAGATGAGTCACCAGGAAAGAGAGTGAGGAGAGGGTGGGGGAGGGGCCGCCTCAGCCCAGCCAGCTGCGGAGACAGAGGGGGGAAGTGCCTGCGGCTGAGGTTCTTTCTTTCTTTTTTGGTAGCCAGGGTTGAACCCAGGGGCATTTTACCACCCAGCCACCTCCCCAAGCTGGTACTACTATTGCTACTACTACTACTATTACTATTTTCATACTGAAGGTCTCACTGAGCTGCTTAGGGCCTTGCTAACTTACTGAGGCTGGCCTAGAACTGGTGATCCTTGGCCTCCTGAGCCTCTGGAATTACAGGCGGGTACCACCGTGCCTGGCCCTGAGATTGCATCCAGATGGCCAGCACTCAGAATTTCACGTGCATTATCTATGCTTCCTAGGCCAATCATTTCCAAAATTCAGTTCAATGATCCCTGTAGGGAAAGCAGGATCTTTCAGCAAATCCACAGGTTCCTAAGAGCATTAAGGTCCTGTGTTTTTACTTTCCAGTATCTCTGTGTGTGATGTTGTGAAGGTTGGAATTAAGTCACAGAAAAGCAAATCCATTGCTTCTACTGGAGAAAAATTTCAGGAATCTGCAACGCCACTTTTACTATTCATTTTTTGGTCAGTAAATCATAACTGTTATCCATAAAAGGGTGTTATACATCCGAGTTTGTTATGGTTTTAAGTTACAAATTAAAATTTTTTCTTCGTGCCAATTTATAAGGTGGAAATATTATGCATATAAACCATTTGAACAGAATCTATTGGGGGTATCCATTCGTTTTTAAAAGTAGAAAGGATTCTGAGATGGGAAAATGTAAGACTCACAGCCCTCGGGGCTGGGGCAGAGCACTTGCGTAGCACGTGTGAGGCACTGGGTTCGATCCTTAGCACCACAAAACAAAACAAATAAAGGCATTCTGTCCGTGTACAACTACAATATATATATATAGAATCACAGACTTCGTATGAATCCTAGGTTTAGTGGCACTCAGTAAATACTAGCTCTTTTCGCTCTTTTGTTCGTGTGTGTGTGTGTGTGTGTGTAAGGAGCCGCTCTGGGTGGAACCCCAGCGGGGTGGTAGGTGTGGATCTTCCTGTGGGGCCATCCGCGAAGTGGCAAGATTTGGCTCTTCAAAGACAGCGAAAGCAGCGCGCTCCTGGGCGGCCCGCGGGTGTCCTCCCGGGAGTCCTATCCTGAGCCCTGGCTGGTCCCTTAGCACGTCCCCCACGCAGCAGCCGCCCGCCACTCTTGCGCGCTGATTTGAGGACTGATGGACCCGAGGGTCAGGCCGTTCACTCCCTATTCCTCCGCATGTTGATTGGCGGCTGGGTCTTTCCTTACTCTAAAACCGTCCTTAGCTCTATTTGGGGATAGATTTGTCCTTTGTTTCTTCGGCTGGTTCCTTTATTAACTCGGCACACACCTTGGAGCATCTGTGAGCTGGCTGCAGGCTGCGTCCCCGACGCGGGGTCGCGCGGTGAGCAGGGTGAGCAGGGACGACCGTGCCGAGTTTGGCTCTCCTGCGTGTCCACGTTCAGATGCCCTCAGAGCCGGCCAGCAGCGTGGACCTGGGCTCTGGAGGTGAGGGGGCTCTCCCCAGCTGGCAGTCTCTGGAACAGCCAGGAAACGTGCCGCCTGTCGCTCACGTCTCCCTGGAGCCTGGGGATTTCACTCCTGCCTCTGCCAAGGTCCACTCATCTGGCCTCCGTGTGGAGTTTGCGAGTCAAGGTGGAGCAGAAGTCTTCTGTTTTTTCTTCCTTCCACGGAAATGTGGACAGCAGAGGGCTTCATCAGTCACTCACATTCGAGGTGAATTAATCCATCTTTTAATTTCTAAATTCATACACATGCCCTATTTTGGGGTGTACCGTTATGTGAGTTTTAACTCGTGTAGAGACCTCTGTGTAAGCCCTCGCCTCCAACTCCCCGCATGGGGAGGGTGCTGGGTGGACCTCGGGAGCCACTTGGAGTCCTAGCTCCCAGTGCTTGTGCAAACCTGGGAGCCCGCTGGCGATCCCCCGTTTGCTGGGGAATAAGTACATACTCTTGCGCAGGGACATGGGAGAGTACAGGACCGTGTTCAGGGATGCTAAGCAGGAAGCCTGGAGCTTCCTGGGTGCCAAAGAGAGGCAGCTGTGTTCTTGGTTACCCACAAGGTTGGATGGATTTTGTTCAGTCATTTCAGAGCAGTGGAAGACCTTGCAAAGCTCAAAACTCAAATAAAACCCACTGGTCTGGGGCAGAGGTAGCCCCTGTCAGTAGTCATGAACGCAGCATCGCTTTGCTTGGCGAGCGCACAGGGCGCACAGGGCGCACACGGCCAGGTTCGGAGGCTCCTCTCTGCGCAGCACGCAGCTCCCACGTCGGCCACCAGTCTTGGCTGATTCTGAGGTCATGTTCCATTCGGAGCCTTGAGCTGTGTGCATGGCGCATGCCATGTACCCCTGATTTGTGCCTATTTACTGTGTTTTCCTTTTCTTACTACAATGAATTATCCTTGCAAACATTGTTGTACATAGATCTTTGCCACTTGTCAGATTATTTCTTTAGAATGACTATCAAGAAGTGAAACCCCTCATAAAATGAGCTTAGATATTTTAAATGACATCAAGAGTGGAGATATAGATGAAATACAAAAGGAACGCACAAGCCCCATCCCTCATTTGTTCGCCCATGAATCCCACAGACGCTTGCTGTGTGTTCCCAGAAGGACTTTTTTTGTATGTTTGTTTTATTGGTGCCTCAGAGTTGTGCAGTGGATGGGTTTGCTGTTACACATTTGCACATACACACAATGTAACAACACGAGCTGGCCAATACCAGCACTTCCCACCTCCTCCCCACCTCCCTCCCCCCACCCTTTTCTCTTCTGCCCTCTGAGTTTTAGGAGGTGCACCCCCACTCCATTTTCCTTTTCCCTCTCTGGCTTCCACACTTGAGAGAACACATTCACCCTGGACCTTCTGAGTTTGACTTATTTTGCTTAACATGATGGTCTCAAGTTCCCTCTATTTTCCTGCAAATGCCATAATGTCGTTCTTATTTATGGCTGAATAAAGCTCCACTGTGTATACACCATATTTTTTTTTATCCGTTTACCTGTTGATGGACATTTAGGCAGGTTCCATGTTTTGGCTGCTGTGATTGGTGCTGCTATGAACATGGTCTAGTTCCACTCTTCTACTATGTAGGTTTTTGGCACCTTTGGCAAGGATCAGATGACCCTAGATGTTTGTGTCTTCTGTACCATTGGTGAATGTGTCTGTTTTTATGCTAGTATCATGAGGTTTTTGATACTATAGCTATGAGCGTATCATGTGGCACGATGACTTTGATTCTTTAGGATAAATACCAAAAAGTGGTATAGTTGGGTCATACGGTGGTTCCATGACTAGCCTTTTGAAGAACCTCCATGCTGATTTCCATAGTGGTCATACTGATTTACAGTCCCCCTAACTCTGTAATAGTGTTTTTTTTTCTCCACATCCTCTCCAGCATGTATCATTATCTGTATTCTGTCTTTAAAAAAATATTTTTAGCTGTAGATGGACACAATATCTTTATTTATTTATTTTTATGTGGTGCTGAGAATCGAACACAGTGCCTCACACATGCTAGGTGAGCACTCTACCACCCAGTCCCAATCCCAGACCCTCATTATCTGTATTCTTGATAACTGCCATCCTGACTGGTGTGATATGAAATTTCAGTATAGTCTCGATTTGCATTTTCCTAATCACTAATGAGGTTGGACATTCTTTTATGTATTATTTGTTTTTCTTCTCTTTTTGAGAAGCATCTATTATATTCATTTGCCTATTTATTAATTGGGTTATTTAATTTTTTGGTGTAAAGGTTTTTTTTTTAGCTCTTTATATAGTCTAGATTTTAGTCCTCTGTTAAAAGAGTAGTTAGCAAAGATTTTTTTCCCCATTCTGTAGATTATCTCTTCACATTCCTAATTATTTCATTTACTGTGCAGAAGATTTTTAATTTGATGCTGTCCCATTTTTTAACTCTTGACATTATTTCCTGAACTGTAGGTGTTCTATTGGGAAAGCCATTGTCTGGGCTTATATGCCGGAATGTTGACCCTGCATCTTCTTCGAGGAGTTGCATATTTTCTGGTCTAATTCCTAGGTCTCTGGTCAATTTTTAGTTGATTTTTGTGCAGAGTGAGAGATGGGGGTCTAGTTTCCTTCTTCTGCTATGAACAACCAGTTTTCCCAGCACCGTTTGTTTAAAAAACTGTCTTTTCTCCAAGGTCTGTTGGCACTTGGCACCTTTGGCAAGGATCAGATGACCCTAGATGTTTGTGTCCTCTGTACCATTGGTGAATGTGACTGTTTTTGCTAGTATCATGAGGTTTTTGTTACTGTAGCTGTGTAGTATACTTTGAAGTTAGCTGTTGTGATGCCTCTAGAATTGCTTTTTTAGACTAAAATTGTTTTGGCTATTCTGGGTCTTTTATTCTTACAAATGAGTTTCAGGGCAGTTTTTGCTGGTCCTCTGAAGAATGTCATTGGTATTTTGAGGAGGACTGCATTGAATCTGGGTACTGCTTTTGGTGTAAGGACATTTTAACAATATGCATTTTGCCTATCCATGAACATGGGAGGGCTTTCTGTCTTCTGAGGTCTCCTTCAATTTCTTTCTTCAGTGTTCTTCTAGATTTCACTGGAGAGCTCTTTCACCTTCTTGGTTAGATTCATCCCTAGGGTTGTATTTTTTTTTTTTTGAGGCTATTGAGATTGTAATTGTTCTCCTGATTTCTTTCTCAGCAGATTCACTGTTTCTAGGTATAGGATCATATCATCTATAAACAGTGATAATTTGACTTCTTTTCCATTTGTATCCTTAATTCTGTTTATGTATGTGATGAATTACGTTCATTGATTTGTATATATTAAACCATCCTTGCATCTCTGCAATAAAACCAACTTGATCAGGGGCTGGGGATGTGGCTCAAGCGGTAGAGCGCTCGCCTGGCATGCGTGCGGCCCGGGTTCCATCCTCAGCACCACATACCAACAAAGATGTTGTGTCTGCCGAGAACTAAAAAATAAATATTAAAAATTCTCTCTCTCTTTCTCTCTCTCTCCCCTCTCTCACTCTCTCTAAAAAAAAAAAACCAACTTGATCATGGTGTACAATCTTCTTAATATGTTGTTGCACAGGATTTGCTCATACTTTATTAAGTATCTTTTGCACCTAAGCTCATCAGGTAGGGATATTGGTCTATCATCTTCTTTCTTTGATGTGTCCTTACCTGGTTTTGATATGGTGAGATACTGCCTTCACAGAATGAATTTGGAAGTGTTCAGTCCCTTTCTATTTAATGGAATAATTTGAGGAATATTTGCATTAGTTCTTTAAAAGGTCTGATAGAGAATCCATCTGGGCCTGAGCTTTACTTTGGAAGGCTATTTATTACTGCTTGTATCTCATTAGAAATTATTGGTTTGTTTAGGTTTTCTATGTCCTCTTGATTCAGTTTTGGCAGATTGTGTTTTTCTAGAAATGCAATTGCTTATTCTAGGTTTTCTGATTTATTGGATTATAAGTTTTCAAAGTAGTCCCAATGATCTGCTGGATTTATGAAATATCTGTGATTTCTCCTTTTTTCACCTCTATTTTTATTAATTTGTTTATTCTTTCTTTCTATTTTGGTTAGTTTGGCTAAAGGTTTCTTGATCCTATTTATCTTTTCAGAGAACCAACTCTTTGTTTCTTCAATCCTTTGTAGTGCCTTTTTAAAAAAGTTTCAAGTTCATTGATTTAGGCTCTTAATTATTTCCTTCCTTCTACTGGTTTTTGGAACTGGTTTGCTCTTTTTCAATGGCCAAGATGCATCATGAGATGGTTTGGGATCTTTCTGATTTTCTAGGCACTCATGGCTGTAACTATCCTCTTAGAACTGCTTCATAGTGTCCCAGAGATTCTGCTAGGTTGTATCACTATTCTTATTTGAGTCTAAGAATTTTTAAATTTCTCCCCTGATTTCTTCTATCATCCATTTATCATTCAATCTCCATGTGTTTTTATAGTTTCTGGAGGATTTTTTGGTGTTGATTTCTAATTTCATTTCATTATATATATATATATATATATTTTAACCAGAGATTGAACTCAGGGACACTTGACCACTGAGCCACATCTCCATTTGTACTTTAATTAGACACAGGGTCTCACTGAGTTGCTTAGTACCTCACCATTGCTGAGGCTGGTTTTGAACTCATGACCTCCTGTCTCAGCCTCCTGAGCTGCTGGGATTACAGGTGTGTGCACCATGCCTGGCTCATTTCATTATAGATTGATACAAGGAATCATATAAAATTTTTGTATTTGCCAAGAGTTGGTTTGTGGCCTAAAATATGATCCATTTTGGAGAAGGTTTCATGAGTTGCTGAGAAGAAAGAATATTCACCTGGGTGAGATATTCTGTGGATGTCTGTTAATGCCATTTGATTTATAATACTTTTCAGGTCCAAAGAATCCTCACTGAGTTCATGTATGGAAGATCCGTGTAATCGTGGGAGGGACTTGTTGAAATCAGCCAGTATCATTGTACTGGGTTTATCTGGGGCTTCAATTTGAGTCGTGTCTCTTTTATGTAATTAGTTGCACTCACATTTGGGTCATAAATATTTATTTTTGGTATATCATCTTGTGGGATTCTTCTCCTTACCAATAGAAAGTGCCCCTTTTCCTCTCTTCTGATTTGTTTTTTGGGTAAAATCTGCTTTTTGAGACGTGAGCGCAGCCACCCTGCTGGTTCTGAGGCTCCTTTGTGTGACATACCAGGGCCCACCCTGTCACATCCAGCGGGTGGCTCCATTTGCGGTAAGGTGTGTCTTTTGTCTTTTGACGTATAGTTGGGTCTTGTGTATCAAATCCATCCTGCCAGCCTGTGTCTTTTAATTGAAGAGTTGAGAGCATTTACATTCAACATTACTATAGAGATGTTTATCAATCCCGGTCATTTTGATTTGTTAATCATGCTTAATTTGGTTCTGTTTCTTATTTGAAACAGAATGATGTTCATTCTTTTGTGAACTCTGAGGTTGGATTTTTAAATCTTTATTTTATCTATCTATCTATTTATTTATCTATCTATTTATTTATTGTGGTTCTGAGGATCAAACCCAGTGCCTCACCCTGTCAGGCAAATGCTCTATCCCTGAGCTACAACCCCGGCACCTGAGGCTGGTTTTTAATTTCCTCTGGGTGCTGTGTTTCTTTCAGTAAGTTCTGTAGTGCTGGTTTAGTAGTCATGCATTCTTTTAGTTTCTTCTTATCTTGGATGGTTTTCATTTCATCTTTGATTCTGGATAATAGCTTTGCTGGACATGGAGTCTTTGTGGACATTGGATGAAATATTCTACAGATGTCTGTTCAGGACCAGGGACACTTTGTCTCAAGCCCTCTTGGCTTGTCCAGGAGAGAGATCAGAAGTGATAGACTTGCTTCCAAATGTGACCTGGTGTCTTCCTCTTGAGCCTTTGAAAATCCTATCCCCAGGGGCTGGGAATGTGGCTCAGGCGGTAGCGCGCTGGTCTGGCATGTGTGCGGCCCAGTTCTATCCTCAGCACCACATACCAACAAAGATGTTGTGTCCGCCAAGAACTAAAAAATAAATACTAAAAAATTCTCTCTCTCTCTCTGAAAAAAATAAAAAATAAAAAAATAAAAATCCTATCCCTGTTCTTTAGGTCGGGCATTTTAGTTACAGTGCGTTGTGGAGAGGCTGTTTTTTGGTCTTGTCTGTGGGGGTTCTGGATGCCACCTGTATCTGGAGGTTCATCTCATTCTGAAAGCTGGACAATTCTTCTGTTCCTGTTTCCCTGAGGAATTTATCCCTTCCACCAGCACACATCTCACCATCCTCCTCTGTGTGGAACCAGAGCCCTTGTGTATTCTCGTCATGGGGACTTGCCTGTTTTCCTGTCTGAATGTTCGAGGCTGGTCCCTCTGCCTTCAGCTCTGAGATTCCGCTCCAGCGTGGTCTGCTCTATTAGACTTTTAGCTGAACATTTCATTTGATTTATTGGGATTTTCATTTCCAAGATTTCTGCTGGTTCTTTTCAGCATTTCCCTCTCCTTACTGAATTTCTCTTTCATATTCTGAACTGACTTCCTTAACTCATTCAGTTGTTTTTCTGTGTTCGCTTAAAATTCATCAATCATCTTTATAATGATGATTTTGGATTCCTTATCTGACATGCCATCATCATTTCAGGGGTCACTTGGTGAATCATGAACTTCAGGAGGTGTTGTGTGAGCTCCGTTTTCATATTTCTTCTATTACTGTGTCAGGCTTTGTGCATCTGTTGGAAGGGATTCTGATGTGCTGGACTTTTTAGGGAACAGTCTGCCCTTGCCTATGTGTCCTGATGTGATCGCGATGGAGACCCCTTCATTGGTGTGGTATCCACACCTATCTGTGGGGGGTTCCTGTCTGTTTTTGTTAAACCAGTGGATGTCCATAGGTGGGACCTGAGGGCTACCCGTAGTAGCATTTCTACTTGGGGACTGGTCATTCCGTTGGGTTTTGTGTCTTCTATGCTTGGTATTAAAATATAGATGAAGATTGAGCGTCACCAATCTGTGTGTGGAGCGAGATGTACTGTCTTTAGGTCGAGGTCAGTTCAGCAGCAGTTTTGACTCTGTGAACTTGTACTGTCCCTGTAGGTTCCCAGCAGAAATACGCAGAAACAAACATAGCCACCACCAGTACTAACAGCATACGGTATTAAACTAAACACTCGATTCCTACTATGACGTCTCCAGTGTTGACTGTCACAAAAAACAGTAAGGTAAGGTCAGCAATCACCACAGCAACAACAGTGACCATGAACTGTATCTGGTGTCAACTAAGGCGTTCACAGCACTAATAACTGAACAGCATGAATGGTGGGACCAGGGATTATAGAGGCCAATTAGGGCTAAAAGATGGTAAATGTACAGTTAATTAAGAGAAAAGGCAACGTGACAGGAAGACAGGAAAGAGTTGACAATTTCAAAAAATCAAGAAGGAGAATGCAGAAGAGAGGCAGCCTGTGGTGGCTGTAGGAAGGGGGAGACACACAGAGGTAACAGAGTAGAGGGAGAGCAAAGAATGGAGGATGGCCGTCAGCAAAGAGAGAGAGAGAGAGAGTGAGAGAGAGAGAGAGAGACCGACAGACAGACAGACAAACGAAAACAGTACCAACCAAACCAAAATCACTAAAAAAATCCTAACCGTCACAAGACAAGGCAAGGTGGAATAAGTACACTTAAAAATGCTAAAAGTGAGAGAAGAAAGGAACCATGTGTAGTATATAAGCCCACAAACCAATCAGCACAGCAAAAACACACAAAAAGCAAGAGCAAAAGACAGAACAAAACAAAAGCAAACAGATTTTTAGTGAAAAACTAAGGAAGCGATTCCACGGATGTGGTCACTAGTCAGTGGGAATGGAGGGTCCCTGCCTTTGCCAGCCCCCTTCCACTTCTTCCTGGGCTGAGTCCTGAGGGCCAGAGCAGGACGGGGTGAAGGGCGGGGTGTTCCGCTCTCCTCCTTTTGTGCTGCTCACAGGCTGCCATTGGAGAGGCCTAAGCCTGAGGCTGGTTGAATCAAGTCTCACCCCCGCCCACCACAGGAGGTAGGATGGGATGGGACCTCTGTCTGTTGGAATTTTGTCTGCACTCCCAGGGTGGGGCGGCTGCAGCGTTCTGTGGGTGCACCTCCGGTGGGTGGGCTTAGGGCTGGTCAGGCCTCAGGGCTTGCTGGGTGGTGACTGCTCTAGAGAGACGAGGTCAGGGCACCCTGGGGCCTGGCAGTGCCCCCTCTGCTGGGAGTCTGGGTCTCAGGAGTCCCCCTGGGATCATGAGGCAGAGGGCCACTCCCCCACCCACTGCGCTGCCCACAAACACAGCCTTCCCCAGGCTCCGTCCTGAGTGCTTACACCTTCCTATTCAGATTCCCGCCCACTTCAGCTGGCCACCTGAGCTGTCCACTCCGAGTGGGAAGCAAGCTGGCCGCCCTGTGGCCTTTCTGACTGGAATCCCCCTGGGTAAAAGATTCCCTGTGCTGTTTTGGTGCCACTCTGCCAGGCAGACCCAGGCCATGTGGCCAGTGCTGCTGTGTCCACCCGGCTCCTGCAGCAGCTGCCGTGTGGCTGCCTCAGGACGCCGGGCCCAGCTCTCCGTGGCCAGTGCACCGTGAAGCCTCTGGATCAGTTAAGGGCCTGATTTTCTGATCCCAGAATTTTCCAAACCAAATCTGCCTGGTTTTCCTGAGTCCTCGCTTTCTCAGTGCTAACCAGAGCCACCCGCCTGCTGCCTGAACCCTCTGTAGTCTTCCTTCTTTAATTACCCACATTTACAAGTCTCTAAGGCACTCTGCCCAATACTGAGTTCAGTGAAGTCCCCTTTCCCCACCTCCCAGAAAAGCAGGACTGCTGCCGGAGCCCTGAGCCGCAGGGTGACAGGCACGCGGCCAGCCCCCGTGGTGGACCCCCTCACAAGCCCCTTCTAGGTTCAGGCTCAGTGAGACGCAAGGGAAAATGCCCCAATGCAGACCTTCCCGGGAGGCCTGGAGTCGCGGATGTCAGACCCAGCTCTGCAGGGGGACCTCGGGGGACCTCAGGAAACGCGGCTAGAGTTGTCCCAGGGATTCTGGGTCTTGGGGGACAGGAGGAAGCTGAGTACCTTTGAGACAGAAGATCCCCAGGTAGTGAGTGGGGAGCCTCCCTGCAGGACCAGCCCCTCAGGGTTCTCCAAGGGAGTCCTGGTGGGGACTGGAACAGTCACCCTCCCAGGCGAGCGGAGCAGAGGGACTGAAGAGGCAAGAGCAGCCCAAAACTGGGTTCCTGCTGGACGCCGAAGAAACGAGTGTCCTTCTGCCTTTCCCTCCGCAAATCCAGAGTCCACTCGTCTTTTTTTCTCACTCTGCTCCTTCATCAGGTTACAGAGGTGTCATCTCTCGTCCCTTAAAGTGACCGCATTCAGCTTGGGTGCCAGGGTAGAGGAGGAGGAGGGGTCACACATGTTCCGTCTCCCCATGTTCTAGAAGTTCCACCCGTGCCCGCCTTTCCCCATCACCGTCCAGCGGGCTCATTGTCCTATTATCACTTGCTGTCTCCCCCAGCCCCACTCCTGCACCCTTTACATAGAATTTCGTGATATACTGGAAATCGGAACATGTCCGTGCGATTTTCCACATATGTTTTTTTTCATTTCTATATTAGAGAGATGGACAACGTCTATGTGCATGGACCACGATGCAGGATCAGCCCCTGGGGTTATAGTCAGATATAGCTTGAGTGGGCAGAAGAGTGGATTGGTCGACAACCTGGAGTTTGGGGTCCGGCTTCTGAGCACAATTCTTAGCTCATCAATATTCTAACTGTAAAAGAAGTTTACTTTAAAAATTAAAAAAGACATGAGCCAGGGTGGTGGTGCCTGCCAGCCATCCCGGCTCCTCATCTCCGTCCGCACCTCTGGAAGCAGCAGAAGTCTAATCCACAGCGGGATCAGACTTATTGTTCCACAGCAAGGACACACACAATCAGGATTCCAGCGGGGCAGGACCTAAAACAGGAGAAAGTGCTTGCAAGGAGGTTCATGCAGAGTCTTGGATCCAACCCCTTTCGAAACCAGGAGTGGAGAAGGGGCAGCTTCCTCCTCCTCTGGGTCCCCTGGTCTCCACGCTGCCTTCTGAAAGCCTCACGGGTGGGGCTGCCCACACCAGGGAAGAACAGGGATGGGGGCAGCTGGAGTGACCGAAGCCCCTTCCCCTTGCTGTCTCTGGAGGTTCGCCTGCCCCTGCCCCTCCCGGCTGCCCAGGACCCCATGCTTGTTACAACAGAATGGGCCCAGACGGGGGAAGGCTTTCCAGCTCTCCTGGAGCCATGGGAGGAGACTGGCCCCGGGATCCTGGCTTTGTGTGGGTTTTAGACCCCACAGACCTGACGCGCATGGGTCCCCGCTCCCCCACCAGTCAGCCACAGGGCTTCTCCCAGCACCACGTTCCCTGTCTGCAAAACGGACGGAGCACTCCCAGGTGTCATGGCCCAGAAAGGGCTGTTGGTGTGGCATCAGGAGACCACTCAGACCCTGAGAGGGGCAGGAAGAGAAGGGCTGACCTTGGCACGCGCAAGCCGGCTGGCTCTCGGGGCTGGACCGATGTTCTGGGCCCAGCAGCAGTAAGGTCATGCCAGGCCACCGCCTGAGAGACCACCTGTGACCCCAACAGGGTGCCACAAGGCCACTCAACACTATGAGAGTGGATCAGCAAACACCAGCCCTGCAGGACTGAACCCTCCGCCCTCCCCGCTGACGGAGTGAGCCTTAATAACCCTGTGGGCGGTTTATTGAAGTTCCCAGTCACTGAGTGACCTGTTCCTGACAGCACCCGGCTGGGGAAGGCCTGTTTCCTCAAGCCTTCCCCCAAATCACCCTCGCGGTCCCAATCCTGCACCAGTTCTTTCCAACAGAGAGACCCCACGGCTCAGGACGGAGGGCCACTCCGGCTCTCTGACAGTCGACCCCGCTGCAGAACCGCAGGGGTGTCCCGTGGCCTTGCTACACAGACAAGCAGGTCCTCTCCCGTGTCCATACTTCTCCACCCACACGTGTCCACTTCCTCTGTTCTGCTGCCAGCTGCCTCGGAGTAGAGAGAAATACAGCAGGAAGTCTGAGGAGGTGGAAGGGCGAGGGAATGAACTACAGATAAATTAACCAGTGATCAACAAATAAATAACAAGAGGCACTGAACTGTGAGCTGCCCAGAGCCCTGGCCCTGACTCTCCTGCTTGGGGAGATGGGCCTTCCCACAGAGGGGCAGGACCTCCCCACTGGACAGGCCAACTGCCCCTCCCAGTCCTCCCCCCAGGGTCTCATCTCCTCCGAGCCTGCAGGACCACTCAAGTAAGCCCTCCAAGCACCGCAGGACCTGGCTCCCAGGCTGCCCCCAGAGTCCCTGCGTGAGCAGCCCCCGCTCTCTGCAGGTGGTAGCAAGAATCCTCTCCCCCAGGAGGCGATGTTTGGTCTGGGACCTGAATCCTGGGAGAGGACCAAAGCAGCGCCAACACGTGTCCATGCAGCAGCCTACGTGGTGTGCGGCGCAGAGCAGGCGCAGGGGAATGCCGGAGTTCACAGGAGGAGAGGAGGCCCTTGACAAAGTGTTTTCCTGGGATTCTTTCCAGGGCCATGTATATTTTGACATTTTAGAAATGCCAAAATGTCAAATTGCCAAAGGGCAATTCTACTGTTAAAAGAACTTCAGTTGATATTGTGTTCTCTTTTGACGCATCTTTAGTCAGGTTTTTATTGCTGTGACCCAAAGACAGTCAAGGACAGGGTAGAGGAGGAAAGATTTGTCCAACTCATGGTTCAGAGGTTCAGTCCGTGGATGGCTGACTCCACAGCTCTGGGCCCCAGGCGAAGCAGAGCATCATGGTGGACGGGCGCGGCTGAGGAAAGCAGCTCAGGACAGGTCAACCAGGAGGCAGAGAGCCCCACTCACCAGGGACAACATATGACACTGGCACAGCCCAGTGTCCCGCATGCCGACGATCACTACCCAGTTAATGCCTATCAGCGATTAATGTGCTGATCAGATAAAGCTCTCATAACCTCATCGCCTCACCTTTAAACTTTCTTGCATGTCTCACACATGAGCTTTTGGGGGACACCTCATAGCTAAGCTATAACATATGCTTTATAAACACACACCTACACATACACATGAGTGCACTGAACAACTGACATTGTGCTAAGTACCATTTTATAACTAGCGTTCCATTTGATAATATGTCCCAACTATACTCCCCCCCTCACTGAATATCCTCCTCCCCCCAATTTTCCATTGTTTGACCACATTGTATGGATTAAGGACAGTCATATGGATGTGCCACAGGTTCATTGATTGATAGTCTCTCAGGTGTACATCCAGATGGTCTCTCTTTATAATTTCATGTGTATTTTCTGAATATTTCTTAGATAAGTAGTTCCCAAAATACAGTTTAAAGGCCCCTAGGGGAATCAAGGCCCTTTCAGGAGGCCCACAATTTAAAATGATTTTCATAAAAATATGAAGATTTTAAAAATCTTTTAAACTCTCTCATTTTCTCAGGAATGCATACTAGGGATTCGCGGTACTGCGTGGTGAGTTGAGAATGTATGGGAATACGCTGCTTCCATTAAGCAGGACTTTAAAGGGGCTTGCAAAATTGGAGGACAAGGCCACCTTTATCACTATTTTTTTTTGTTTGGAAAATATGATTATTTTTCATAAAATGTGTTATGTTATAGGTTTATTAGTGTCCTTTTGAATATTTAAAATTTTCTGTTTTAATATATAGTGTGGTAACTATAAGTAGATATAAGCCATATGAGCAAAATTTTATTTAGGGCGTCCTTGATAACTTTTAAAGATACACATGTATTCTGGGATGAAAACCTTTAAGACTTGTCACCTTAGGTTACATTCTTAGGCAGTTTTTCAGGGTTGAGAATACATGCATCTAAAGTCACTGATCCAGATGCGAAATATACAGGATGGCACTAGAGCCTCGTGGGAAATGTAACCCAGGCACCTCTGGCTTGTCCACCTGCCAGACTGCGCCCCGTGATGGGCCAGGAAGGTTTCTGAGGACGTGCTTGGCTGCAGAGACACCCCCAATGGAGGATGCAGTCAGCACCTCCAGGACAGAAGGCGGGCTCCTGAGACTGTGGCCCAGCCAAGATCCATTCTCAGGGGATCATGGCATGGCTCGGAGGCAGGGGCTGGAGGGAGGACTTTGGGAAGACTAGAGGCGGGCCTCACACCGGGTAGGCATTCCGCGCAGAATGGCGGGACTGCTGCAGTTTACAGTGAACGTGCACCAGGTGAGCCTCATGACCCCGCAGAGCAGGGCTGGGGGGGTGGGGAGATCCTGGGCAAGTCCTGCTGCCCGCCCCACTGGTGACAACGACCTTTCTCGCGTCTTCCCCTGGGGCCAAGAACCCTTGAGAGTTAGGCGGGGCCTTAACTACCACTGGTTCTTTACCTCGTGTTTAAGTATCAGAACACCCAGCAGGGCCCGAGTCCTGTCCATGGTGCTGAAGGACAGGCAGGTGGCGTCCGTGAGCTGGCAGGCAGGCGCTGGTAATGTGTGCAGAGGTGACTCTGCATCCCTCTGCCTCACGCCCCGCCCTCCG